AGCGACTTCCCTGAAAGTCTAAGATCTGTTGAAGCGGATGTTGAAGGACCCGGCACTGGTCCTTGTGTCCACGGGTGGTGCTCGGGAGGAGTGGATCTGCGTCCAGGCTGCATGCAAAAAAGCGCAGGGTTGCCGTTTCGAACAGGCTGCAGCGCACATTGCACCTGCGCGTCACAGGGGGGGGGACTGCGCAAGGCAGGGTCGGCAACGCGTGTCAGCAAAGGCTCTCAGAGCCTTGTGGCTTTCAAGGAGGGGTTCGCAAAAAAACAGGATAGTTAGAGAGGGGATGTATTACATGCGGTCAAGGGTTAGCTGCTGAGTATGGATGTTGTACCTCTGATGGTGTCGTAGGTGTTATCGCCGTAGCAGGAGGAATTGTGGCTGTTGCATTATCAGCGTTTGTAGCCGTGTGTCTTACTTCAGTGAAGCTTTACTACCCGTGGATGCTAAGGGGCTCAACGGTAGTTACTAATGGATAAACACCACAAACTCACCTTACGGGAGCTCAATATGGGCTCGGCAGCAACGGGTAGCAGGAATGATGTCGGTACAGGATCACGAAAGCGGCTGGCATTGTCGATTTAACGGATACGAGAATACCAGCGGACCATAACTTCTGGAATCAACTAAGAGCAGAAGCAGTGGCTGTAGTGTAACAACGAGTGACTTGCCATAGCGAGTCAACTTCCCGAATGTCGAGTCAACGGAGGTTACTTGCGGTTGCCCAAGCCGCTTGAACCAACGCGGATGAGAATCAACGCCGGTCCAGGTGCTTGCAGGATCAACCGAAGGGGCGCACACAGAATCAACCGACAGGGAGTCAGATTGACAGGAGGTTGGGTACAATTGCCAAACCGTAGACAACCGGTTTCAGTTCTTACCACATATTCTCTTGCTGTACCTCCTGTTCATTGTGGCTGTACTGACGAGCTCTCTCTCCCTCTTCTCCGCAACGTCTTCCCTGAAAGTCTAAGATCTGTTGAAGCGGGTGTTGAAGGACCCGGCACTGGTCCTTGTGTCCACGGGTGGTGCTCGGGAGGAGTGGATCTGTGTCCAGGCTGCATGCAAAAAAGCGCAGGGTTGCCGTTTCGAACAGGCTGCAGCGCACATTGCACCTGCGCGTCACAGGGGGGGGACTGCGCAAGGCAGGGTCGGCAACGCGTGTCAGCAAAGGCTCTCAGAGCCTTGTGGCTTTCAAGGAGGAGTTCGCAAAAAAACAGGATAGTTAGAGAGGGGATGTATTACATGCGGTCAAGGGTTAGCTGCTGAGTATGGATGTTGTACCTCTGATGGTGTCGTAGGTGTTATCGCCGTAGCAGGAGGAATTGTGGCTGTTGCATTATCAGCGTTTGTAGCCGTGTGTCTTACTTCAGTGAAGCTTTACTACCCGTGGATGCTAAGGGGCTCAACGGTAGTTACTAATGGATAAACACCACAAACTCACCTTACGGGAGCTCAATATGGGCTCGTAAGCAACGGGTAGCAAGAATGATGTCGGTACAGGATCACGAAAGCGGCTGGCATTGTCGATTTAACGGATACGAGAATACCAGCGGACCATAACTTCTGGAATCAACTAAGAGCAGAAGCAGTGGCTGTAGTGTAACAACGAGTGACTTGCCATAGCGAGTCAACTTCCCGAATGTCGAGTCAACGAAGGTTACTTGCGGTTGCCCAAGCCGCTTGAACCAACGCGGATGAGAATCAACGCCGGTCCAGGTGCTTGCAGGATCAACCGAAGGGGCGCACACAGAATCAACCGACATGGAGTCAGGAGGTTGGGTACAATTGCCAAACCGTAGACAACCGACTGCAGTCTGGATGCATGGAGGTTACATGCCGTTTGTCAAGCCGCATGTGGGACCGAAATAACCGCTTACAAAGCAGTTGGATCCCGAGTATAAAGAGTAGAGTAATTCTGAGGATGAGATCACTTCCGACTGCTACTCTTTTGTAAAACCTGGCTGATTATACAAAGGATTCTGCCTGCATCCCCTGTGTTCACCAACGATCGCTGGAATTACCGGGCATGCCCAGATAGGCGGTGAGACCTATTCCCCAGTAAGGGATCCCCTTGTGGATTAGAGACTGGGCGGTCATATTCGATTTGGGACTACCGGTCTTGGGCGAGGCGTTAGGTCATAACCCAGGGCCGGGTGACAGATGATTCCCTGTTTGTCTAACGAGGAGAGCTATCAGAGGACAGCCGCAATTGACCAAGAAAAGAGAAAAGGTACAGTTCTCCGGTGTTACAGTATCATCACCAAAGCACAGAGCAAGTGGAGGTGCAATATTGGGGTTCCTACCGGGGATCAGTTTCAAGGGAGGCTGCTCAGCGCTACCTTCTCCTGGATGCAGACAGACTACATCGTGATAGTTGCGTACCTGCCAGCGAGATCGACGCATCGGGGAGAGTTCTTCAGGGAGGCAGTCGCACCTTCCGTGCAGACGTTGCCGACGACCGCTCACACTATCTTGATGGGGGGATGGAACTTAGTTGCGGACCCGAAGCTGGATAAGTCCCCAGGGTTGGGGTCGGCGGCGGAAAACCAGAGGCTTCTTCAGATTTGCTCCACCTGGGACATGCAAGATGTGTTCAAGAAACTGCACCATAAACCTTCTTCTCACGCCCGGCCAGGGTTAGCTCGCGGATAGACAGGATATTGGTGTCGCAGGCACTGATTGACCATGTGTCAGAATCCAAGCATAAGGTGATTCCCTCAGGACTTACCAATCATTGGTTTGCGGTGAAGGCTACTGTGTGTGCGGCGGTTCTGGGTGGAGCGAACCCGGGCTTGTGGAGACTGCAAGCATCACAAGCAGGCCGTGAAGGGAGTAGAAAAATCATCGCAGTGGTACTTGAGGAGCAGGAGAAGCAGCCAGATGAGTCTCTGCAGCATCTCCTCTCACACCTACGGGCGAGCTTGAAGGCTCACACAACAGAAGAGAGGAATAGAGTACGGGCGATGATGGAGCATTTAGAGATAAAGGTTGAAGGCGTTAAAAAGCTTCTGATGGCAATTCCGACGTCAGTGAAATTGTATGAAGAGCTGGTGAAGTAGGAATCGATGCTGAAGGCGTATCAGGAAAGGAACACAGACATATTGCAAGTCCTGGCGGGAATGCAGAGGAGCTGGGTGGTGAAACACCGAACAGGTACCTGTCGGGGAAAGTCAAGTCAAGGAAAGCAAAGACGGAGATTCACGAGGTCAAATTTAAAGGTCAGCGGTATGAAGGGGCAAAGGAGGTGCTTGCGGCTGCAACAAGTCACTTCAGAGAAGCTTTCTCTGAGCTTCTGCAAACGACTGACATGGGAGCCTGGCCAATAGACGAACAGAAGCAACTACGGAAGGAGGACAGAGTGATGCTGAGCAGTCCCTGGACGGAGCTGAGATTACGGAAGCGCTCAAAGGTCTGCCGGCGAGGAAGTCACCTGGGTAGGGCGGCCTGCCGAAGAAACTCTTCGAGCGGTACTGGGATTTACTGGGAGGAGAGCTGTTGAAGCTGATCAAATACTTCGAAGCAAGTGCAGCGCTGCCGGAGTAGTTCACGACAGCAGTGACTATTCTCCTGCATAAAAAGGAGAGCGGGAGCAGTTAGGTAACTATCGTCCTATAACGCTGCTAAGTGTGGTGTACAAGTTGGTGCCGGAGGTACTGGCAAACAGAATCAAGTGAGTCTTACCACGGGTTATCTTGGAGCGGCAGTTTGGCTATCAGATGGAGTATCGATTGTCGCAGATGTGGTCGACGCGGCCGCAGAGGGGGGTGAGGATTGGATGTTGCTGCTGGTGGATTTCCAGAAAGCGTACGACTCAGTGTCGCGCGACTATCTGTTCGAAACGTTGGAGAAGATGGGCTTCCCACCCAGCTATGTCGTGTGGGCAAAAGGTCTGCACGATGGAGTTGGTACCCGATTGCTCCTTAATGGCTGGGTAGGAGACAAGATTGTGATGGACAAGGGGGTCCGTCAAGGATGTCCGCTTGCCCCATACCTTTTCTTGTGCACGGCGAAACATCTCTGCCAGGAGTTGGAAAGAAGAAAGCTTGGGATAAGGAAGAGGGGAGTGGGTGAGCTGGCGTACGTAGGGTACACGGATGACACAACATTGGCATTAAAGGGGAAGGAGCAGGTGGCAGCGGCGAAGGTCCTAGACGACTTTGGTGCTGTCTCGGGCCTGAAAATCAACCAAGGGAAGACGGCTTTGCTCCCGCAGGGGAAAACCAGGAGGAGATTGCAGCCGGCAGACTCACCGTTCAAGTGGGCGTCCCGGGATGAGCCGAAGAGACTGCTAGGTGTTTGGGTTACGCCCGGGGGGGGGCTCCAGGCCCGTCCTGGGCCAAAGCCTTCGAGAGGATGTGCGGAGAGCTGAGCAGATGGGAAGAAAGGCACTTAACGACGACAACAAGGGTGAAGATTATCAACAGCTATGCGACGCCGATCCTGCTTTTTCAAGCGCATGTGTATGCGCCGCCGCACGACATCTGGAAAAAAAGTACAGAGAATTTGTCAATTTCATCTCGAGGGGCAAAGCTTCCTTTGACCGGCATTTCCTGTTGTGGAGCTTCGAGCTGTCCTGCAGAGTTAGGAAGGAGGGAGGTTTAGGGGTGATCAGCCCGAAATCCAGAGTCAGCAGCATGGCGCTGCAGAACATTGGGAAAGCAGTGGTTGAGAAAGACCCGATACGGAATTGGATATGGGAGAGTGCGGCATGGCTTCCGCAGGGTCTGGCGACGTTGTACGCGCACCCGGCGTATGGTAGCCAGTGGCTGAAAGGAGGGGCGAGGTGGAGAGCACTGATACAAAGCCTCTGGGAGACAAAGATCAAGGTTGTGGGGGACCCGTCCAACCGGTGGGACGTGGAAGGAGAGTTCCTGCTCTTCAACCGGGAGATTTTCTTCAGAAGAAAGTCCCCCTTCGGGGGACTGAAGGGGTCCGACTGCCTTAAAAACGTCACCCTGGGCGACCTGATTGTAAAGGGCCAAGACGGGAGCCGAGAGTTAAAAGGCGACAAGACACATGAGGCCGACGTCGGCCTGCTCATCGTCGAGAGCGTGCTGTAGGTGAATGCCGGGCGGGCGTAGCTCCACACTCCCCTTCTGGCCGTCCTTACTGCGCTCTTCACCACCCCCCCTCCCGCCACTGCCTCCATGCCGCGCCACGCCTCGCTGCACCCACTGCAGTTGGCGGTGGGGGGCGAGGGGGAGGAGGGGGGCAGCGGGGCATGGGTGGTGGAAGGAGGAGTCAGAGCGGTGGGGGGCGAAGAGCAGGGGGGGGGAGGCAATGGGGAAGTGGCGAGAGGGACGGAAGGCGATGGAGTGGAGGGCGTGTGGGAGGGGGGAGAGTAGGGTCGAGGGGAAGGAGGGAGGGAGGGAGAGGCAGAGGTGGGAAGGCAGCAAACAGGCGAAGGAAGGAGCTTTCTTGATGAGCATTATGAAGGACGGTGAGTGGCCTAGGAGGGGAGGGGTCGTTATATGTGCAAACATGTTGGTTCCTGTTTCGACTTGCCGTGCTGGCAAGCCGCCCCCGTGCTGTGCTGGAGGCCGACCTGCCTGTGTGCTTGGTAACCTTGCATCTAATGTAGCCATTGTTGCCATTGCAATTCGTATCATTGTATCCAACCTTAGCTAATGAAACTCTTGCAGTTTGGCTCCGTGAACCCACATATGAGCAAGTGTTAGAGAGAACGATATGCTCACTCGTACCACCCGTGCCTTCACACGTAGTCCCACTCCCGTTGTAGAGTGACTCTCCGCATCCCATCCATGCCACCCATCAGCCATTGCTCTTCCCTTCTCCTTCCACATCTTCTCTCTTACCCCCACCCATCCTCTCCTACCCACCCTCTCCTGTTACTCACCATCTCCTCCCTCTTTCAGACGAGCCCTGCTCTTCACACCCGCCAGCCACCATCCGCCAGCCCTGCTCTTGACAAGTGGGGCGGCAGGGAGGAGTGAGAGTGGGTTGTCGCCCGTCGATCGTGATACCGCGCACGGTAGTCTGCACACTTCTTTTCCTCCTCCTGCTTACGAGGGGCATGTGTTGCAGGCTGCAAGGCAGCATGGCATAGCATGGCAGCAGGGGGGTGCCTTTGGTGCTAGAGATGCCACTGATGCTGCTGTTCCTGGCACTCTGCCTCGCTCCACACTGCCTCCTCTCCACGCCCTCCTCTGCCCCCAGCAGCCCCGCCCGTCCGATGGCGCCCCTCCCAGGCAGCACCTCGCCCTGCCTTCTCACCTGTCTTCCCGCCCCCTCCTTGCTCTGCACTGCCGCCCCCATGGGGACAGCGAGGGCGCACAGGGGAGGGGGGACGGGGAGGGGTGAGGTAAGGGCGTGCGAGGGCGGTGGGGAGGGAGAGGGAGCGGTGGTGGCGGTGGATGCAGGGGTGGGAGGGGGGGGTGGCGGGGTGCAGGGCGGAGAGGGCTGGCCTCTACACAACCACCTGCTGCACCTTGGCATTGGCCGCGTCGTGCGCTGCCCTGTGAGTCATGCGCTGCCCTGTGAGTCGTGCGCTGCCGTGTGAGTCGTGCGCTGCCCTGTGAGTCGTACGCTGCCCTGTGAGTCGTGCGCTGCCCTGTGAGTCGTGCGCTGCCCTGTGAGTCGTGCGCTGCCCTGTGAGTCGTGCGCTGCCCTGTGAGTCGTGCGCTGCCCTGTGAGTCGTGCGCTGCCCTGTGAGTCGTGCGCTGCCCTGTGAGTCGTGCGCTGCCGTGTGAGTCGTGCGCTGCCCTGTGAGTCGTGCGCTGCCCTGTGAGTCGTGCACTGCCCTGTGAGTCGTGCGCTGCCCTGTGAGTCGTGCGCTGCCCTGTGAGTCGTGCGCTGCCCTGTGAGTCGTGCGCTGCCCTGTGAGTCGTGCGCTGCCCTGTGAGTCGTGCGCTGCCCTGTGAGTCATGCGCTGCCCTGTGAGTCGTGCGCTGCCCTGCGAGTCGTGCGCTGCCCTGTGAGTCGTGCGCTGCCCTGTGAGTCGTGCGCTGCCCACACGCTCTCTGGCATGCTGCTTGCTCCCCCCCCCCTCCTGTGAGTCCCCCCTGCTGTCAGTGCCGACAGCCCTTTCTGCCATGGCCGCTAGTGCTGGCACCTCTCCATGTGCAACATGCCGCTGCATGGCCCTCTCCATGTGCAACATGCCGCTGCATGGCCCTCTCCATGTGCAACATGCCGCTGCATGGCCCTCTCCATGTGCAACATGCCGCTGCATGGCCCTCTCCATGTGCAACATGCCGCTGCATGGCCCTCTCCATGTGCAACATGCCGCTGCATGGCCCTCTCCATGTGCAACATGCCGCTGCATGGCCCTCTCCATCCGCTGCATGGCCCTCTCCACGTGCAACATGCCGCTGCATGGCCCTCTCCACGTGCAACATGCCGCTGCATGGCCCTCTCCACGTGCAACATGCCGCTGCATGGCCCTCTCCACGTGCAACATGCCGCTGCATGGCCCTCTCCACGTGCAACATGCCGCTGCATGGCCCTCTCCACGTGCAACATGCCGCTGCATGGCCCTCTCCACGTGCAACATGCCGCTGCATGGCCCTCTCCACGTGCAACATGCCGCTGCCTGGCCCTCTCCACGTGCAACATGCCGCTGCATGGCCCTCTCCATGTGCAACATGCCGCTGCATGGCCCTCTCCACGTGCAACATGCCACGTCACGGACAAACCGAATCCATCACATGACTACCCCATCCGGTTCCACAAGTTCCGACTTTTTTGGCCTCGCGTGTCGTTGCTTGCCTTTCTCCATTCTCCCCTGCATCTGCTTCACCACCCATGCAAGCTGTCCTTCCTCTCCCTCCCATCCCCCTCTATCCAGCTGACCTCCAACCTTCTCTTGCCACCTTCCCAATTGTCCACACTTCAACCTCAATCAGCCGTCACACCCACACACCCCTCATCCGCACTGCTGCTGCCTCCTCTCCCTGCTGCCCCCTCTCCGTGTTGGACACCTGGCGCTACCACAGCCCAAGGCGCTGACACAGGTGGTGGTGGTGGTGGCGGCAGTGGCGATGGCTCCATGCATCCCGCGGCAGTGGCAGCAGCATGCAATGTGTAGGCCCATTCCACTCATTCTGCCCGAAAAGCAGCATCGGCTGACACGCAGTCAGAGAAGCCTGGTGGCGGTGGTGGTGGAAGGAAGCGTCAGGAAGCAGCAGGAAGGGAGGGGGAGACAGGGAGAGCGAGGGAAGAGGGCCAAGCAGAGCACGGGTGAAGCAGGAGCAGGCGATGCAGATGTGGTTAGGGCAGGTGGGGGCACTCCTAACAGTTGCATTCTATATCAGACACCATGGTACACTAACATTATTCCATATGACGGTACTATCAAAATACTGAATTGCTTTAAGTCATTCAAATTTATCTCAACAGCAAACATTTCAACATACGGTATTTGCATCTCATTCTGCACACCATACACCAGCAACACCAGAAGTTTATCCCTAAAAATGTGTCAAGCAGGCTCTGAAAATGGCATAGCAACCTTCATGCCTTTAAGGCAGTCGTTGCTAACGGAGCTGAGAAAGTACCCTGTATATGCTGCCATGCCCACTGTGACCTTGTGAGTGCCCTGATTTGATGCCTTGGCGAGCACAACCATGGGCGAGGCATACTGTCCTACGTAGCAAAGGGACATTCGATCGACATTGACGGCCATTCCACTTGAACACTGGATGGGAGCGCAAGTACAAGAAAAAGAGTGAAAGAGCGCGAGATTGAGATTGGAAGATCGAGATTGAGATTGGAAGATCGAGATTGAGATTGGAAGATCGAGATTGAGATTGGAAGAGCGAGAGATTGAGATTGGAAGAGCGAGAGATTGAGTGGAAGAGCGAGCGATTGAGTGGAAGAGAGAGCGATTGAGTGGAAGAGAGAGAGATTGAGTGGAAGAGAGAGAGATATTGAGTGGAAGAGAGAGAGAGATTGAGTGGAAGAGAGAGAGAGATTGAGTGGAAGAGAGAGAGATTGAGTGGAAGAGAGAGAGATTGAGTGGAAGAGAGAGAGATTGAGTGGAAGAGAGAGAGATTGAGTGGAAGAGAGAGAGATTGAGTGGAAGAGAGAGAGATTGAGTGGAAGAGAGAGAGATTGAGTGGAAGAGAGAGAGATTGAGTGGAAGAGAGAGAGATTGAGTGGAAGAGAGAGAGATTGAGTGGAAGAGAGAGAGATTGAGTGGAAGAGAGAGAGATTGAGTGGAAGAGAGAGATATTGAGTGGAAGAGAGAGATATTGAGTGGAAGAGAGAGAGATTGAGTGGAAGAGAGAGAGATTGAGTGAAAGAGAGAGAGAGATTGAGTGAAAGAGAGATAGATTGAGTGGAAGAGAGAGAGATTGAGTGGAAGAGAGAGAGAGATGTGTAGGGGGGAGTGAAAGAGGCGTGTGTGGGGGTGCGAGCGAATGTGTGGGAAGAGCAAGAGGTGTGTGGGGTGAGAGCGAGAGAGGTTAGAGTGGGGAGAGCGCAGAACGCCTCATGAGAGCACAGTGAAGGGTGGAGGTTTCAGGGTTTAGATTCCAGCGAGGGAGAGCAGTGGGAACTGACCGACAACGTCGCCGGATGCGATAGAGGGAGGCGGCCACGTCTTCACGGCCGGATTCCAGCGCGTGAACCTCCACCCGACCACTATCGTCTTGGCATCCTGCCAGCACGCGAGGCGAGAACACGCGAGGGTGGTGAGTACGCGGGGACAGAGCGGCGCACGGGCGGAGCAAGTACGGAGTAGAGATACTACTACCTAGAGTTATTACTAGCTACTAGTGTAGTGTTGCACGGTTCAGTAGTAACTGTGAATGTTGGACAAAGCGAGCAGTAACCATGCAGGCACGTGCGATCATGGGAAGCTGGTGTATGCGCTGCCGGCGGCGAGGATGGTGGGAAGCGTTCAGAATGTGGCGAATAAAGGAACTCACGGCAGTGCGGATCATGGTCGTCCACGGAGTGTCCAGCGACCCTACAGCACAGGGCAGAGCACAGCCACAGCACAGCCACAGCACAGCCACAGCACAGCCACAGCACAGCCACAGCACAGCCACAGTACAGCACCAGAGCAGAGCAGAGCAGAGCAGAGCAGAACAGCACATGACAGCAGCGCATGTGAGCGGAAAGTCACGGCTCGGTGATGCAGCTGTGAGCGGGCCTTTAAATTGTGACAGGCTCGCCTCTTACCCGCCAGGAGCAGCAGCAGCGGCAGCAGCAGGCAGATGGGGCTCCACTTAAGGAACGCCATAGTGATCACTGATGAGGAGGTTTGGCGGAGAGGATGAAAGGACGAACACTGGGTTCACGAGGAAGAGGGCGTCGCAAGCAAAAAGCATCAGCTCCCTCTTATCTGCTTGCGATCAGCGTATGTAAGGCGCCGTTCAATAGCACTGAAGTTACCCCTAAACCCTGCTAATCCGAACCAGGCCTCGGAGCGAGACCCGTGAGCGAGTCTGGAAACCTTCCAGACCTCGCTGCGAGGCAGGAGCGAGGCCTGGAAACAGGTCGGCCCGACCGGAGCCCCACCGCGCGCTCCGCTCCGTCATTAGCCACGTACGCTCTCTGAGCCGCACTAACGCTGTGGCGCCGCACCTAACTTTGCCGCACCAGATTTTGATTGGAAAATAAGGAATTGGAAAATGGTCAAAATCGTATCCAGAATTCGAGGGGGGAAAAAAAAAAATCACACACACACAAACACATAAATAGAGGAAATCGAAAGCCCCCGAGTTAATGCTATGCTGAAGAATGGATCCAGCTAATGCAAGACTGTTGTCGTCCGAAAAAAACTAACAAAAAAAGTCAGGGTTCGAAGCGGGTCAGTTGTGTTTAGCTTACGTGGCAGCCCGATAACGACGTCGCTAGTATATTAGGGGTACTGCACCAGTGGATCGGGTCTCGGGAAAGAAGTACAGCTTCTGGGCGAAATCGCGCGCATCGACGATAAAAAAAAATGGAATTGAAACAAATGGTCAAAATCGTATCCGGAATTCGAAAAAAACAAATATATATTAAAAGAAAAAACTAAATATAGTGGAAATCGCGGGCTCCGCGAGAACATTTTATGCTGCATAACAGATCCAGCTGACGCAAAACTGTTGTCGTACAAAAAAAACAAACAAAAAGAGTCAGGGGTCGAAGCGGGTCCCTTGTGTCTAGCTTACGTGGCAGCCTCACATAGAGGTCGCTGACGAGATTGCGCGACGCGACTGATAACGAGATTGCCTCGAAACCGTCGACCACCCTCGCTGCGTGTTCTTGGCAGATCCGCCTGGGCTAAATCGATCGAGCCTACACGAGTTTGCGCAATACGAGTCTACAATTTCGATGCTTTCGGTTTAGTCAAACTTCTGTTATCTTCTTGCAAAGAACTCCCAGAGTCTGTGATCTTCTTGCCAAGAACTCCCACAGTCTGTGAAACACTTCGTGAATATCCTGTATGACTTTCGAAAATGAGCACTTTAACCCATTCCGTAAAGGTTCGTCCTTTGCGACTTCAAGGTTACGACTGTGCGTGAACACTTTGGCCAAATAATGAACAGCGAGTACGTACACATGAGCATTCACGATGCATAATCTTTTTTTCATGCTATCCAAGGTTCTACTGACGCTATAACCATCCCGAACATTTTTTGCAACGTCAAATAAAGGTCTTATACGGTGCAGAGTTGTCATGTTGCTAAATGTGTTAATACATTTTGTAACATTAACGCCATTTTCTTAGCTGAGGTCAATAAGTCGACCACCTTATCAAACTTCGCACGCACAATTTCTACGCGGCTAACAACAACAAATTCGGTCAACCTAATAGCCATGTTTACATTCAAATAAATACCAGTAAAATATCTTCATGCGAGAAGATTTCAACAATTTGATCATGTCAACATTATAAAAATCCGTTTCAGAATATTTACGAGTTGCCTTAATATGTGGTTTTGAGTGATGGCTTAATCTTCTAGTTGCATATTGGTGTTATGTTGTAACACAATCACTGTGGATGAGGTCACTACCCTACATACTTACCTTAATGGATACTATATTCAAATTACATTTTCTAAAACAATTATGCCACAAATAGAATCTATGTAGGCCAGCATGATATTTTTACCACCATGAATCCGTTATGACAAATATTGTTAAACCATTACAGTAGGTTATTGTCAAATTAGAAGGTTGTGCTCGATGGTTACCATCCTATTTGTTCACGGGAATAGGGTGTTGGCCCCGCCCTCGCTTGGGCGAAGCCGACGTAGTGGTCGGGTGTGCGAGAGGTGCGGCCGACCATCTGCAGAGTTCGACGCGTGCAGGTCGACGGAGTTGGTTGACATGCTGAAGACTGCTGCGAAGTCGCCGACGATAGAAAGCCGGCGGCAAAGTTTGACTGGCGTGGTCGCCAAAGAGGTCCGTCGACCTGCCTTGAGTGTGGTCGACGAAGGTGGTCGTCGACCTGCGCGGGACTGTCGAAGAGGCCGTCGACTGTGGGTGTTCGACGGCTCTAGCTGATCGGGTTGGTCGACGGAGGAGTCCGTCGACCAGGTGGTTTTCGACGGTAGTTGTGGTCGACGAGGGAGGTCGTCGACCAGGGCGCTGGGTGGTCGACCCGGTCGACCAAGTAACCTCCTCGACGAGGTTCTTCGGAGGCACGCG